GAATCAAGTACCTATATTTTTTTTTCATGTTCGCACATCATTTGCAAGTGTAAAAGTTCCAATTGCAATTGAAACTTTTCATATGTATCGATATGGGCGATAGAGAGAGCTAAAGAGAGAGAGAGAGAGAGAGAGAGAGAGAGAGAGAGAGAGAGAGAGAGAGCCAAAGAAAGACCAAAAGTGAGCGAGAGAGAAAGGGAGAAAGCGAAAGTGAAACTGTGATTTTGTTCAAAATTTAACGCAATTTAAACAATTTAAATAAAACTTCTCAAGTTTGGAAAACTGTGCTAAATTCGAAAAATAAATGTGTTGAAAAAAAGGCAAGAACGATCAAATCATTTAATTAACATGAAAAACTTCGTATCAAATTATTCAACTTCTGTTACGATTTAATAAACACACCGTCCGTTCTTCAGAAAGTAATTAGCACACATTTTCGAGATGGGACACTGCACGATAAATGACCAAAGAGACAGAGAGGGACAGAGAACGAAAGGAGAGAGAGAGCATGATCCCGTCTGGTCAGAGAAAAATGGTCAAACGCAAAGCCCACAATGTCCGCCAATTCCCTGAATTCGTAAGAAACGAGTCATGTAAGGGCTATCGCAAAAAAACCAAACAAACAAACGGCTAAGTAGCGAATTGGTATAATTTTGTATGCAGCTTTTATAGCTTTGGGCAGGATTTTCGCTTGAATAACATTGCAATGATTTTTTAACAACTGTATTCCATGCAGGAAATATAAATGGTGTATTGTTTGTGGCTGTGTTTGTTTGCCTTGATTCCGTTCGTATGTGTGTGTGTGTACATTTTTTCCATTCGCAACACTTTCAAATCCGATTAAAAAGTTAGAACGAGAGAAATCAACTGCAAAAATATATATATAGCGAACCATTTACGACTCCGTCACAATTCCAATTGAATTTTTCCACCATGTGCAGAGTTGTGCAATGTAATAATATCAAGCTTGTTCGGTGTGTGTGTGTCCCATCTTAAGCCGAAGTGTACGAGACGTTAAAAAGTGTACCCAGTCAAATGGGGAGGAGAGAAGAATGAAACTTTTTCTAACAATAGAAAATAAGGTCATGTCTATACATAGGATAAACTGTGTGGATTTTCGTACATACCAATCGACTTAGCGTGTTTGTCACAGGAAACGCATTCACCCCAAAATTCACACAAACGACTTGGGCTGCGGGAGAATCTTTTTTTTGTACTACACAGGCTGAGTCATGTAAAAAAGCTACACACTCACACCATTGGTGTCGGCAAAAAAGTATCATAAAAATAGAGCCATCAAATTTGATTTGGCTAATGCATATTCATCAGGAAAAAAATATGTATATAGAAAAGCATGGAGCGAGGGGGCGATGTGAGCAACTGAAGACTGAAATAAGTCAATAACAATGCTCTACGTCATACAAATTTGATAAATATCTTGAATGTGGGAACATGTTGAAAATCGTACAAAAACGATGACGATAGATGAAAATATTGCAACGAAACCCAACATTTATATATGCCTACTAAATCGGCGATTCTTGAGCGCATATGTTGGCACAGTTTTCGCATTCGTTCATCGCACGTATTCCAATATGTTGAACGTGAACATTCTTCTCCTTCATTTTTGTGCGCGTTCACTAAACTAATACATTTTTGGCCTCAATAACAACACATTTGCCGCCTGCTTTTTTTTACATCATCGCACACGCTCAAAGAAAAACTCATTAAAGCCACACTATAAACATTCTAAAAAGCCACTTTTATTCTTGCATTCAAAATTCAAATATCTTGTAAAAATATTCGCTCTTGAACCATTCCATATCCCAGTAGCAACACCACCACCACCAACAATGAACAAAAACGAAAAAAACACCTCGATCGGTATTTATTTTATTGCACCGCGCCACATTCGATCAAATGCAAATATTTTATTATGTGGCAACGCAAAGAAATGAGAGAAAAAGCAATGCGCTCTGAGCTCTTGGAACTCATTCAGTTTTCGATTTAGTTTTAAGCCAGTCACTTGATTATGTTATGACTCTTTTTTTTATTTTATTACTTATTATTATTGAATTAGCACAGTTTTTCACTGTGAAAAATACACTTCGACACGCACGAAATTCATATATTCAATTTTAGAGCACTCAAATCGATTCTGCATGGTTGACAATTATAAATGATTGCTTGCATTTACTTTGTTGCATTAATTCAGTCAAGCTGCAGTCAGATGTGATTAAAAACGATCAATCTAATGATCTTGATGACATCTGTAAGGTGATTTGAAATTGCGAAACGATCGAAAATGACACATTCGAAACGAGTTCGTTTAATTTAAATTGACTTCTTTTGAGAGAAAGAGAGAAAGAGATGGATGGTGAGATTAAGAGATATATAGATGGAGAGATTTACAGCGAGAGGAATAGAGAGAGAGATTGAGGTCGGTAGACAGCGGGAGAAAGAGAGATAGAACAAAAGAGACAGAAAGAGAGGGAAAGAGCGAAAAAGGCAAAACGAGAGCGAACGGGACCGTAAGAGAGCGATAGAGACCGAAAAAAGTGAAAAAGACCGTAAGAGAAGAGAGAAAGAGAGAATATAGATGGAGAGATTTACAGCGAGAGAAAGAGCAAAAAAAGTGCGAAAGAAGTAATAAATTGCCTTGGTAAATGTAGAAAAAAATCAAAACAAAGAAGTTTTTTTCGCAACGAAAACACCAAATAATTCATTTTTTCCAAAGGGTCAAGTGTTATTTCTCTATTAATTCAACTGATTCTAGAAACCTTTTTGGTGTGAAGCACTTCTGTGGGAAAAAAGTGCAAAACTGCACGAGAATTTCTTAAAATAAAATCAAAATAATAATAAAATGTTCCCGAAGAGAGACTGCAGTGTAGTATAAGGCCCAAGTTAATAATTTCCATTTTAAATTGGTGGCAAGAGTTAGTTTCATTCGTTACAATGTTATATTCTAAGTGAATAATGCCGCATAAGTGGGTATATTTAAGCCTGCGGTAATTATATGCTGAAACACACTTTGCTACGAAACTCAAAATCTAATGAATATATTGCCATTATATGTTAATGGTACACAATAACGCACTTGTGTTATATTTTCATATAAATATTAAGCGCAAAATGACCGTTGGTACGATGCCGGGTTTGAGCTACATATAATTTTAGTGTACATAGACTCTATGTACACACCAATCAAATAGCTGATCAATTCAGGTGAACGTGAGTATGTACATTTTAACGTCAACGAATTTCGATAGCGCGAGTAATTCATCAAAACGGTTGACTTCGTGGAATTTTTATATTCGCCTTGATTTTAAACTCAACTCAATTACATCATTGTTGTTCATCCAGAGCAACTGAATGTTGTTGTTGTCGATCGCTGTGTGTCATTCTTATTTTTTTTCTCTTCAAAACATGGATTTTAATTCGAGCCAAGTTTTTGTCGTAGTCGCTCATATGTAATGAACACGTTGCCACTTTTAAAACTTAAGTAGCTACGGTAATCCATCCAATTTAGTCGGCGTGTACTGTTTTTTTTTATGTTTTGTTTTTAAAAGAGACGACATAAAAGGAGAGAGAAAGAGACCGATGTGCAAAGAGAGTTAGAGAAAAGAGATTGCACGCTGCACGAAAAGAAACAAAAGCCAAAGTGAAACAAAAGGCATGCCTACAAGCATATGTGTCACACACAAAAAAAAAAACGATGAATGGAACGTCACATGCACGTACGCAAAGTAGTCTTGCTCTCAAACAAAGTACCGAACGACCAAAAAAAAAACACCGCCGAGCAGCTATTGAAATATTAAAGAGTTCGATACTGAACAAATAATAAATTCGTACTCCATCGTGTTCATAGCGTGTGTGCATAATGAAGATTAATAATAAATAAATACAAAAGCAAAGGTACAATACATAAGAGCATAAAAAAAGAGAGTCTTTTGTAAATATGGCAAACCGATTTTTGATTAATTTATTCAGTTGCGGTGTGTATATGACGGTTGCCTTCATCGATTCGCAAGTCATTGAAATATATCGTCCGCCGAATAAAATCACGTAAACAATTAAGTACTTGAATTGAGTGCGCCCATCCCAATTCATCGAATAATTTTTCGATATTATGAAGAGAAGAGAAGAAAAAAACATTCCGGACGAATTGTTTACATTGGAAAATAACAATATTGGGAAATCCCCACAATTTTTGACCTAGAAGCCGTCAAAACAATTGCCATCTGCATTGTGCAGTGGTTCTGTCCAAAACGATCTTTAGAAATATGAAGAAAAAATCAGTTCGCAAAAGTGTTCAGAGCGTTTTGCTGAAGCGAAGAAAAAAGTGTATTAAGTTTTCACTTCGGGTGATTGCATCGGGGAGGCAGCTCAATTTACACATCGAAAACCATCCGAATTTATGTATTAATGACGTTTTCTTCGGTATATGGAAGCGACATTGATGTTTTTATTACATGTTGACCCTAAACTGGCTCTATGAAATCTCAATAATAAAAAATACACACCATTTCCCGTCTGACTTTGAATGATTGCATTTCTATTGCTGAAATAAAAGAAGCAAAAAAGTCCAGTTGGATGTGTTCTTTTGGTTTGTTTACTGTTTTCGTTCTTGTTTTGCTCAGTTTTTTGTTGCTTATTCTCACTGGATACTTTTTTTTTCCATTTTCTTTTTTCAAACGACTCTTTGAATTTGTTCCGTTTCTTTTGATGAAAATATATATATACTTTTCCCCAAAGTATGGTTCAGATCTCATTTCAAATCTCGTGCTCACCATTCTAAATATACTGTGAAAAGAGAGAGGGAGAAAGAAATAAGCTCATGACGAATGCATCATTTTACTCCCATTCTCCGTTTTTGTCGATACCGAAGAATACTCTTGCAACGATACACTCTCTTTGCATGAAATTTTATTGCTTTGTGAATATAATTTCTTCTTTCTGTGTGGTAAAAATAAATGAACTAAACTACGTAATATACTTACATAGTTTTGGTCTCTTTTTTTCGTGTCGTCGTCTTCTTCTTTTTTTTGTGTATGTTTCGTCAATTAAACTGCAATTTATACAAGTCTACCGATGTTGTTGGCGTCACTGCTTTTATCTCCTCACTCTCTCCCCTGTGTTTCTCGCACTAATTTTATTTCTTGCAGTTTTTTTCTCTCTTTTTACAGCAATTAATTGATAAAATGCCAAGCAAATGCTTTTTGATATTATTTTAATGTTTTCACTTTAGATTCTATTCACATGGATATTTTTTTATTTTATTTTAGTGTTGTTGTTGCATCGTCTGACTTGATCCACAAAAACTTCCGATTCAACGCAATTATCAGCGATGAGCGACGACCGTCAGTTTCTCACACAGCAATCGCATAAAAACCAATAAAAGCGCGTTCGTACAGTGTGCGAATAAACTTTTGTTTTGCAAAGTAATTCGATAAAGTCTTGTGCTAAAGTAGTTTTCTTATTATTTAAAGCAGTGTGTGTGTGACTCACTTTTACATACAAAAGAATCGATATGAGACCGAAAAAAAAATTGTTTATGTTCGCATTCCGGTTTTGTAATTCACAAAACTTATCTCATCTCATCGTTCCCTTTGAGTGTTGCGTGAATTACGTTTGAGTTTTCACTTTAAATAAGTTTCGGTTTGTTTTCTTTTTTCGTTTGTTATCTCGATCCGGTATCTTTTTGAGTGTTTTTTTTTTAAGAAAATTCACATTTGAAACTAAATTAAAATCACAACTCGATAAATTCATGCAATAAAATAAAAAGTGCAATGATGAAATGAATCGAACTAGATTCGGAGCTTGATTTAGAACAAAATTATAGATCCTGATATTGTCGTGGGTTTCTTGCGGAAAATTGTAAAAAAAGAACAAAAGTGTATAAGAATGTTCGAAAAGGAAGGAAAATTCATACAGTTTCCGAAGAAAAACTGTGAATTTCCAACAAATTTCGAAGATTTTTTGGAATATTTTCGAAATATTTCGGTTTTGACTTCGAATTTCAAATCTACTTGGTAATTTGTGCATATTTTTAAAAAAAATCGATTTTTGGAGAGAAAAAATTGAACTTTTGAGGAAATAGCATTGAATTTTAGTATTTTTTGGGACTTTTTTTTATTTCTTTTTACCCTTTTTGTTAAATCCGGGATCGATTCTTGTTTTTTTTTGTATCTTTCGCTCTTTTGATGAATTTCCATCGATTTTTTCAAAGAAAATTGTGAAATTTCTCCAAAAACTCCGAAGAACTTTTTCAATCCCCATACAAAATCAATAAAACTCGCCAAAATGCTGATAAAAAAGTTAATTTATCTAATCTTTTATTGAAAAGTTGAAAATACATCGAAATTCAATGAAAATCCAAAATATTTCTTTCATAAGCTGTCACTGCTTCGATGTGAAAGTGACACAAAAAAGTGCATTATGAATAAAATAAGCAACGAGCCCGAATTGGTTCACATACACAAACGCACAATCAGCAAATTCTCCATTCAAAGAACGTTCAATGTTCTGCGTTCGTCGAAAAAAAGCGAAGTCTCTCTCTCTTTTTTCTCTTTCTCCATATTTGAATTTTACTTTAGACGTGTATGCATTTATGTGTTCGATCGATTGAATGAAAATAGCAACACTAAGAATTTCATTTGAAGTCTCGCTTTTGAAAAGTACAGCGACCGAATGAGCGCGTGTACGTATATGAAAAGAAGCCGAAGAATAGAAAAAATATCGCATCTCGACTTGTGTGCAACAGCAGTTGAGAACATGACAAGCGTGTAAGATGTGCGAGTGGAGTGTGTAGCAATGAGGCGAGTGCGAGACAGTAGCATGTGTCAGTGTGGGTTGTTAGTTAGTGGCTTGTATAATGTGCAAACTAAGCACGCAGCACCCAGTCGTCCAAATGCATTTTTGCAAACAAGGCAACGGGTAGAGAGATAGATAATAACAAAAAGAAGAAGAATGCATCGAGAGAACAATGAGAGAACGAGAAAGAGAGAAAGAGAAAAATATGTACATAAAATAACACGCACAATGCTTTGCTAAACTGAGCAAAAAAACGCAAAGCTAGAAATCGAGAAAGAAACGGGGCCAAACACCATACGAAGAATTAGTGCTTTTATGTGAGCGTTCGCTTCGCGAAAAACTTTTTATATTCGATGTGCGAGAGAATTATCATGCATCGGCGACGGCGACGGCGACGTCAACCAACAAAATAAAATGCTCACTACAATATCCACTAGATGCTGTTTGTCAACTGACGAAACTTTTCTGCACAGTATTTACTTTTTACACACAATGAATTTTGTGCGTTTTGACGAAACAAACAAAATCTTTCTCGAGTATTTTGTTTTCTTTTGACAATGTTTCATTCGTTTTTCTAATAATAAGAATTTTTCGCTTTTATTGCATTTTGTTAACTTTTTTGTTGCTTTTCCACTTTTTCGGTTTTTCCCTTCCGCTCAACCCTCTTCGCCACTTTCACACTTTATGCGAATCCGTTTTCAAACCCCCCGTTTGAAAATAAAAAAAGTGAACCGTTTTCACTCTCCGTTGCTTTGGAAAAGTGCGCTCTCGCGCGCGCACATACACATATTCGAATATGTGTGTTGCTGTGCTATGGTAATGCACCAAATGGCATCATAAAAAAACGACGAAAATAAACATCAACCGAATAAACAAAGCTTAAAGCCACACACTTTCGCCACTGTGTTCGAACACACAAACTGACACTGGGAATTTTACGCGAATTTTCTATTCATCGGATGCAAATCGAATTGAAATCGTAAAATTGTGTGTGCAAGCGCATTGGCAAGTGTACGAGCGCGAGCGCTTGTATTTGTCATCTTAAAATGGTTATCTTCTTCGTTACATTCTTATGCACTTTTTTCTCCCCCTCCCCCACCATTTTCGTTCGTGCACTTTCATTCGCTTTTTTTTCTTGCATCTCCCTTTTCTTCGGTTCATTCAACATTTCATCGCTGACATTAAGAGAAGAAAAAAAAGAGCTTCCATCATACTGGCATATAAAATGCATATTCAACACTTACTCTTCAGACGGTTTTCGTCTTGTCTACGAGAAATGAGACGAAAAAGAAACGGAGAAAAGTGCTTTGAAAAGATGTGATTCTTTTTTCTCTGTTGCTCGTCTCCCGATGAAAGATGCGAAAAGTTTTTTTTTGTTCTGCTGCAAAAATTCGTTAATTTTTTATTCGTTCGTCTCTTTTTCACGAAAAGTAAATTTTTATTTTTTTCAAATTTTCAATATCATCATCGTTCAACGCATAAAATGCTCAAACATATATTTTCGTGTGAGTTTTGTTTTTCAGCACAGCTCAAGCTATTTGAATTGTAATTCCAATGTGATTTATATTTTGTGTGTCAGTTTTTTTCTTTATGTTGTATTTTGCTATCGCAGACAATTGTATGTGTGTGTTTTTGTCGTGCTCTCACTTTCATTATTATTATTTCACACGTAAAATTCATTGGATGCACATTTTACATATATACACACACCATAGAGGGGCACTCTCACATACAACATGAAATTGTTATAAATTGATTTATGCTTGAAATGCTAGAAAAACGCAAAGTCTCATTTGCCCTATATATTTCTATTGCCCGTTTCAATGTTGAAATGAATTTAACAAACAAAAAAAGAGCTAATAACACTGAAACAACGACAACATACAACGAAATCCAATTTGAAATTGTATCTCATTGAATTTAGCGAACGAACGCTTGCTCATATATATTTTAAATAAACACGTAAACACAACCGTTCTTGTTGAAATCGCGAATACGACTGAAAGCAACTGAATTCACGCTCCAACAAAATTCTTGTGCATCGTCGTTTTCTCGCAAAAATTCATGCGTCCGTTCGTTTATTCGATCGCTCCACAAACAATTCGTATTTTTTTTGCTTCTCTCCCATTCAATAAACCGCTCAACATATACTATACGTACAACACATTGTGCGTATATCATACACAGAGAGGAGATATAGACACAGCGAAGGGAGATAGAGAGTGAGAGATAGTGTGAACACGGTCAAAAGTAAAAACAAAGAGACAATGATTTTCATTCATTCAACGCACAAACTGTACGTGCTTTGAACATGCACGGCTCTTTTTATTCTCACTCAAACCGATGTTCATGTGTATGAGTATTCAATTATCACTCATTTCAGACAAATTCACGTGCTCTGCCACTCAGATGGATAACATCTGATGCATATTATGCATTCCAGTTTCAGTTCTCACTCAGAGTAGTTGAGCGGTTTAGTTGATATCTGAGCACAATTAGTCGAGCACCAATAGAACGTGTTACTCAACAAGTTTGTTGTTCATTCGAGCCGTAAACAGTGTGATTGGAACGGTTTTTTTAAAAAGTGATCGAAAGAGATTAAGAGAGAGGGAGAGAACACGATCGCATTTCTCCGCTTTCGGCGGCACAAATTTACATTCTCCATTGAATTGAAAATTTACATTAAAAAACATCGCCGTCGGCTATTTAATTGTCCTAATAAATTAAATTTATTAAACAAAACCGAAATTGACGGCCTTTATTTTACGTATGAATATTTAAACGGATTTTAACAGTTTGTTTACATTGGATTTTCGATGAGATTAATATGTCAAACGTTTTTCGCATTTATTTTTTATTGTTCGCCACCATCAAGTCAGAAGGTCAGTATATTTTGAGTCAATTTCTTGGCACTTTGGCTTGGGATTGAGGAAAAATTACATATTTCCACATACACCGAGTATATTACCGAGCGAAAATATATTTTCGGTGTGCGAAATTACTAGTAATGGCATATTCATGTTAAAAATATTCGCTATTTCAAAATTTGTCAATCACAAATGAACCGCTTAGAATAAAAGTAGATAATGGTAGAAAGTTGAAAAAAATCTCAATCATAAAGTGTTATGAAAATAATACTCAATCAAGGAAAAAAGTGAAAATAAAAGTCGATCAAGAAAAAAATTGAAAATAAAAGTCAAACACAATTTATGATCGATTTTTATTTTCACTTTTTTTCTTGATTGAGTATTATTTTCATAACACTTTATGATTGAGATTTCTTTTAACTTTCTACCATTATCTACTTTTATTCTAAGCGGTTCAAATGCTGATATTCAAAATAGAGCGAATGGACACAAGAATAGCAATGTTGATGAGAGCAACAAAAAATGCACCGGTAACTTCGTTTTTTCTAGTCAATCTTCAAACCGAACTCTGCAGCGACATCTATTGAAAAAAATCTCATCGAATGAGTGAAATGTCTTTCGGATTTACACTAATTACGAACAAATGTTTCGCAGGTTGGATTTCAATTTCAGATATTTTGCACCACAAGTATTAAATGTGGTAAAAACAAAGTAATTATTTCTTTCTACATTATAAATACTTTGCTGCACACAGTGCGTGTGCGGAAAAGTAAAAGTAGATGGTAATTAATAAATAAATAAATATCACTAAAAATGATACACGTTGCAATAAATTCAAATATTCTTTATTTCAAATATTCAATGAAATAGTTTTTCAGGTGTTTATTTTTCTTAAAGAGAAAGACGCGCATAAAGACTTGTATCATTGAATTTCTCTTTATTTAAAAATTTTCTCCGACTATAATGGAAACTTTAAATATAATGAACATTTTTTTCTTCAATTCTTAATAAGTTGAAAAAGTATCGTTTAAAAAGTAGAAAATTCATCTGATTGATGATTTGAATAATAAATTTCCTATTTAAAAAAATGTATTAATAATAATTAATAATAATAATAAGGTTTCCAATTTATCGAATCCGCTCGTCTCATTTCAATGAATCTCAAATTCGTGTCACCGTTTCTGGTCGTCCATTTGGTAGCCAAGAAGACATCATCACGCGTATAAATTAATAGTTTTTGTGCTCCGTCCAATTTGGCACGTTCTGCATTCAATATTTCCAAATTCAAAACTATACCTTTTTCTTTAGGTATAAATTTGATTTTGTTCAATTTCGTTGATCGACGAATGAATCTAAAGACGTTCGAGTTTTGTCAGGCCATTTACTAAAATTTCCATATCTTTAGAATCTTTCAATCCACCCAAAATGACTATAGTAATTCTCTAAAATTGGTCAATTGAGCTATATTATAAATGTGGTGAAAATCGTAAATGTGCAAGAACTCGAGGCTTTTGAGTGAGACTAGATTAGTTTTGTCCACCTCGGTAAATCTAAAGATGTTAATGCAAAGTCGCTTATAAAAGCCTTGTTCATGGAGTATATTTAATAATTCCCATATATTTTTCCACTTCTGCTTCGCATCTGACGTGCTCTTAATATAATAAACTCCTTTGAGTTCCAACATATCCAATTTTGCCTTAGAATTTAAAAGTATGTCAAGGTTGCGCCACAAAAAGCTATATGTAGTTGAAAGTGTCTGTACATTTGGATTGCGTACGAAAAATTCAAGAAGTCCTTCAAATTCATAAAATTCACGGGGGTTCAATTCTAAACGTTCAAGCTTCGGATATTTTTTAAATAGCCTATTGCGTGTCATTTTTCTGCGGCTACCGAATGTTGAATATTGAACATAAATCTCCTTCAAATTCTTACAATATTTCAATCTCAAGTCGTAGAAATCATCAGAAACCGTACAATTTCGGATGAGAAAGATTTCCAGTTGGGGTTTTACAACAAATGCGTTTAGTTGACTCAAATTCATTTATAAGAGATTTAATACATTTAAGAATATCTGATAGTCGCGAGCAAAGTGTACTGCAACTCGTGAGCTTATTGAAACCCGATGCATAGATGGTTTCATTTACGACTCCATCTTTGTCCGAATATAGCATGGAAACTCTATCTCTTGTGCAGTATTTTGTTACCGATAAATAATTTTGTTTGAAATATTCGCCGGCCACTTTGTTCATTCGCTTGCATGTTTGACCAAATGAATGCAAATCTTTGAGCGACAAATATTCAAATATTTCGTCGAAGCAATCGATGTTCAATTTGAATATTTTCCGCGGAGATTCCACATTTGATGAACCAGCAATCGAAACTTTATTAAGATCCTCATTGTCTGAGTTGGACAATTTTTGCCTCCTTTGTGATGGGACCATTCTTACAAATGACGAATACAGGGACTACGTGAAATTGGACTGAACCAAAATGTAAGGAAAAATAATAATTATTATTTTATGAACGCAAAATTTAGATGAAAGAAAACCTCACAAACACACACAACACTTTTTTTAGATTAAAAACCAAAATGTTGCTTATGTTTTTCAATGAAAATTAGGCATTTAAATGTTTCGTTCCTTGAATAAATGCCCGTTAAATATTGTCACGTGAAAAAAGAAATAAAGAAAGAATGACCTTTGAACAAACACTAATTTGACATTTATTTCGCTTTGAGATGAAGTTAACTCCACTTGAACCATAAAAGGAAAAACAAATGTGGGAAATTTGAAACCGTTGGAAAGTAAAACACAATTTGTGATTTCAATAGAGAGACTTTATTCAGCAAATGAAAAAATAAAATAAAAAAAAACTTGATCGTAAAAAATCTAGATCCTAAAGTAATGTGACAAAAATTGTTTTTTTATTTCAAAAAAGTCGATCGTCGTCATGTTCATCGCCGAATGTTTACAAATTGCCACGTTTTGCTTGTTCCGATTCGATAGCTTCGAAGAGTGATTTAAAGTTGCCAGCCCCGAAACCCTTGAAAAACACAAACAAAAATTTCGCATTAAAATTTTCAGCCTGAAATAAAGATTTTTCGAAGTACATACCTGATGATTATTCCGTTGAATGACCTCCAAGAATACGGTCGGACGATCTTGCATATTTTTCGTGAATATTTGCAACAAGTATCCGTCATCGTCGTAGTCGATTAAAATCTGAAGCTCTTGAAGTTTTTTCAAATCTTCTTTCACCTGAACTTTGCTGTCCTTTAGATTTTTGCGTAGCATATCATAGTATGCATCGGGAATGGTTAAAAATTCAACGCCACGCGCCCGCAGATTGGTAATGGCTGTAATTATATCGTCTGTATTGAGTGCAATGTGTTGAACACCAGCTCCACCATAGTATTCGACGTATTCAGCAATTTGACTCTTTTTCTTGCCGGGGGCCGGTTCATTGATTGGCATTTTAATCGTTTCCTCATAATTTGTCATCACAATTGAACGTAGAGCAGAATATTCAGTATGGATTTGTGAGTCGTCGACAGACCAAAAGCGATGGAACTCCAATGCCTTTTCGTACCATCGGGCCGTGATTTCCATTTGATTGTCCGGCTGATTACCCACACAATGATCGATGAAATTCAAATTAATCGGCGGCAACATTTTCAACAACTGATCGTTGTGAGTTGATTTTTGGTATCCGGGCAAAAATAAACCTTTGTATCCAGTTCGCTCGACGAAGGTGTGCGTGGTGTCACCGTACTTTTGAGATATTAAATGTAAATTTTATCAACGGTTAAGAAAAACAGCCGATTTTTTCGGAAAAAAAGGTCAAGAAAGGGAACCAAGGAAGTTGAAATGAGAAAATTATTCGATTGTAGCTGTACTTACGGTTTTAACCGTTGCAAATCGTACGGTACCAAATTCATCTGACTCCGACCAAATGTCACGAACGAAAATTGCACCTTGATTCTTTGCACGCTGGGGGGGAATGAAGTAATATTTCGAAATTTAAAAAAAATATTTTTCAATCATTCGGGGAAAAAATTCCGAAAAAACTTGAAAAAACTCGACATTTTCAGTTCGAAATTGTGAATTTGATACAAACCTTAACGATATAATCTAAATCTTCCACTTGAAAAGCAATATCTTTGGGACCATCACCATGTTTCACTAAATGATTGCCAATAATGGTATCATATGGGTCATACGCAGATACAAATACAAACACAATCTGTAAAAGTCGAAAAAAAAGAAAAAAATTAGAAACGAAAACATTTTTTCAAGAAGAAATCACAAATTCTGTTTGAAACACGATTTCTATTTTCATGTAATGTGATATACTTGTGCGATTTGAGGACAAAGCAAAACTAAGTCACTTTTATGACAACAAAAATTGAAAAACACTTGAAAATAAAGATTACATACTTTGTTTTGTTTCACAACATGTTTGGCAAATTGTCGATTGCCCGTCTCAAGCCCTTGGTATGCAATTGGTTCAAATCCAAGACGTGTCGTATAGTAGCTTGCTGCTTGCTTTGCATTGCCCACATAAAATGTGACATGATCGAAGCAAACAAACTTTCCACCAAGTGGCTATAGAAATCAAAGGAGCAGACAAATTCGAAGAAATGAGAGCTAAAGATTTGATCACACATTACCGAAGAATTACTTACTTTTGGTCCTTTATCGGTGTATGTCGTCTAAAAAGAAATAAGACGATTTTTTTACAGAAATAAAACGATTTAATAATTGTTAAGAAGAACAATGTGTGTAAAAGTGAAAACGATAACATTCACGGTTTTTCTCGAATTGTTCAAAGACCTTAATTACTGACATCGAATCGATAAAATTGTAATAATTTCAAATTTAGTCCAATAACACAAAATTACATCTAACACTTTAGGCACTTTTTAAAATCACTCACCATTTTCCACAAAATTCTGCACAAACTGAATACTTTCGAACAAAAACTCAAACTCGAATAAAATCAACCTTCAATCGTCTAATTTTTTCTATCGATATTACTACACACTTTCCGCGTTATTGATTATACCTGATCACAGTGTATCGCTTAACTCAATCAAATCGATGAAACGGCAGTGCCTTTTATACATTCCAATCTGATAACAAGTTTTGTTAAAATTTCCACCGCTCTCTCACAACGGCACCAAGAATCGTCGTCGTAGTCGTTGTTTATTCATTTTCGTCGCAGGGGACATTTTTATCGATTGTTCGGAACCTGTTTGATTCGACTCCATGTAAAAATTGAGATAATTATTTGTATTATTCCGTTTCAATTTTGAAGTAACAACAATTTTAATAATACCGGAAAAGTATCTTGACCCAATTTACACATTTTTTGAACGAAGCCCAGAACAAATCAAAACAAAGTATTCACTCAACGGAGCTAATTAAATTCAAATCCCATAAACACTTGGAAAATATGATCTACGGATCTATATTGTGCGCATAATTTGATTTGTTAATACAATAACAACGGCGGCGCTTACTCACGACAGATGTTGTTGTTTTTGAAAGAGCATCAAGAAGTGCCGTAATGGACACACATTCTTTCGATGACTTGACGGAACAACGTTCAAGCCATTTTCGCTTAAGTGGTTGAAGAGAACACCAAGCTAATTTTTGTTAAGCAAGTTTTGTTGGAAATTCATTATGGGCCCAAAAAGTCACTCGCAATTTTGCATCCACACGTTTTGGGCGGAAAATAAAAGGATTTTCTAATGAACCGCTTGTTGATTCGAATATTTTTGATGTCACTCCATCGGGCGATAAGCCAGTGTATAATTGAATGGCCGAGAAATAATGTGACAATTTTCCTGAGATTTTATTGAAACGTAACAAATGTAATTGAGATTTTTTGTGTGGGTTGATATGAAATCGTGGGACACCTTATTTCACTTTGGCCATTCCTTCCTTTATTCCAGGAGAAAATTGGTTGATTTAATTATAACTTTGGTAAAATGAAAGTCGATCAGTGTTAAATCCGATCAAACTTTGCCAAATCACCAATCGGACTCAAAACGTAACCACGCAGTATGCGTTGAAAATATATTTTGGTGTTTTTGTGTTTTCTTATTCAAAACATATTTTTTCCTATTTCAAAACACTTTCTGCAGAAAAATATCAAAGTAACTGTTTTCAAAAGAAGAATTTGGTGACTTACTCTCCTCCATTGGATTGAGAGTGGTAAAAGTCTTGAATTGAAAGAAGCGAATTCGAATCATTTTTTACCACAAATATGGTAGAAGATTGAAAAAGTTGAGTTCCGTAAAAAAAAAAACAGAACAAGTTGTTCCACAAGAACAAGTTAACAATTAAAAATAAAATCATTTCAAGAACGACCTGCTCTTTAAAATGTCAAAAAATCGGTAATTTTTTTCCGTTCAAATTAAAATCGATGAATCGATTCAAAGTGACTGAGCATTTTTCAGTTAGTAACATAGATTGCCATTGGATCGAAACAGGTGATGAAGTCTACTGTAAAAAAAATATTGATATTTTTCAATAATATTTCATTCAAAGAATTGTACCGCATCTGGCATACAGACAAACGTCACCGTTCCGATAATCAAGCGCATTTATCTAAAACAAGTCCATAAATTGTTGATTTTTGCAAAATCATCGAAAAATGATAAATATTTAAATGAGATGAAAGAGTCTCCATTAAACGAAACAAGCATAGCTTTTCTCGAAATTACAAAAACTGCGACAAATTTGATATGGTCAACATGGGGTATCGCCTGAATTTTTTTGAAAAAAAAAACAACAACAACAATAACTCAATAACAAAGAGCCCCATATAAATAGATTCACAACAGAATGGAACACATAAAATAGAGAAAATAATTTGCTGGTTTTCTTGTTTGTTGTTGTGGCGTCGCAGTTGGCGCTATATTAATGTAAATGCAATTCGTTGATTCGATTTGATGATAAACAAACATATGACAATAGCAAGCATGAGGTGATACACAGTTTAACGCGTGATGGAGGTGTGTTATGGCATTGTGACGTCAAATGTCCCCCACGAAGTAAATCGATGCAAGAGTCTCGATCTTCATCGATACTAGTGATCATCACTGATTGCGTCGACGATCGTTTTGTTTTGTCGAACATTCCATTCCAAATTCAAAATCGATAAACAAATTCTTTATTAAAAATATTTCGATGTGTACCAGACAACCACAAACAACTGATGTATCAAGTCATACGCATAAAACAAGTATTCTCTTTCTTCTCTTCTCAAAAAGTAAATCGCTTGTTTTGGTTTTGAATTCCCTCTTCTTTTGGCTTCATTCTCGACTCATCAGGTGATTTAAATATTAATTTTCATATTAATTGGCTTGTTTTTATTATGTTATTTCTCGCATCGAAACAATTTGGAAGGCTTTTTTTTAGTTCGTTCGACATTCTTTGAATAGATGACTGAAATGAGATCTATACCAAGAAATAAAGTGAAAAACACTTTTGACTTGATCGTGTAAAATTGATAAATAAATAAATATACAATGGTTTTCCATTTTGATTTTATAGACATACTTTGTTATCGTTCAAGTTTTAAATACCTTTCTAGTGTGCGGAAAAGTAAAAGAAAGACAAAAAAGAACAAAATATATTTATACCAAATGGCAACCAGATCATAGTTCAGACCTATTTTATGAAAAGAATCGAACGTTTGTAAGGAAATTTTTCGTTAGTTTTGCATTATTTTTTGCGATGTTGGCAGCAATTCATATTCTTAGTTTTTACAAGAGCACCAAAACAGTTTTGCCACAAGTAAAAACAGAACTAAAAGTTTAACTTAAGTTTTCACTGACAAAAACCATTAAGACAATTTAAACACACATTTTCCCATTGCGAATGTCGGACGTTGGACCCGTTTTTTTTATTTGTCTTGATGGGTTTTCTTTTTCAGGAAAGAAACACGAATATTACAATGAAAAAACAATTTGCATAAAAAATAATATGTCATCTTGTCAGATTTTACCTATTTTATCTTAATTTTATCATCAATCTGAAGATTTGAACACTGATATTTCAACTCGCATAAGTGAAAGCTTGTAAACAATAAAAATACTGCAACCATGAATGTGTTTTGAATATTAAGGTAGCGATCACCAACCTATCTGGATAATACTTAAAATTTTGCATCAAAAACTGATAAAGACAAAATTATGATGACTTTTTGCTGTCAATACTGAATATTTATTTAAAAAATGTTATACAATGATATGTTCTAAATGTTAACATCTTTTGTTCAATCATTTGATTTTTGAAAAACGAATTAATTATCTGGAGAAACGCACAACCTTCATTTTGTATTAGCGCTATATATTAATGAAAATAAATGTGAAAAGCCCTGTATTATGGTCTGTCTTGCGGCATGTTCTTGATGACATGTCTCTGTTGAATTTTTGATACATTTGGAAAGGATGGGATGTTCAATAAAATAATTAGTTGTTGCTTCTTCGGCATCTTTAATAAAATCGTATTTGCCAATTTTATAGATGAATGTTAAATCGAACGTTTGATAAATTTTCGGTTTGTTCTTATCAAATTCGTATTCCAAGCATCGAATGTAATCGCTTTTTTGTTCAATTGCATTTGGTGATCGATAAAATATTGCTGTTGGTGCAAAAAAAATCTGAAATTTTACACATTTTACAATTGGATAACTCTCCGCAAGACACGCAGATCTCTGAATGGAATAGGCGAATGCAAATCTACTTGATGTTTTACCATTTATATTTTCTAAACATTCACGAAAGCCATTTTCACATTCACAGTTGCGGGTATTTGAATTTTTCGTGCCATTTAAATCAATTTTTTTTTGTGCACCACACATATAAAGTGTTCGACAACATGAATCCAAAATCTCTTGTTCCGTTGCATTGGTATTTTGCTCTGCATTTCTAAATGATGCTTCTACAGATTTCGCCAAGGTATCTGCGGTTGGTTCCAGAATTGATGGACAAAATTCCATGTCTAAAATTGAGTGAATAAAAAATCAGATATTATATTGAGATATTTTTAGCCACCTGTCTGACAATAAATCGCATCAAAAATTAAAATTTTTACCGTTCAAATACTCAATTTTCGGAGGTGTAAATTCCTCATAAATTTTTTCAAAAAAGAAATCATACTGATCCAATAAAGCTGATAATTTTGAAGTTAAAAATAAAAATGTTATGAAAAATACTTGGATTTTTTTCATGGTAATATACTGAATATTGAATACTGATGTAGTGAATGGTTTCCAATCAACTGACATAAGAAACTAACGATCACAAGAATATGATCACTTCTATTTTATACCACCACTCTTCCAGTGAAGTTAACGAGCTTTCTATTTTGAATGTGTGCATTGTTCGATGATCAGAAATTTTGAAATTTTTCTTAAGCAACGGAACTATTGAATTAATATTATTTAACAGTTGGCTATCATCACATTTCGTAACAATTATTCTAATCGAAATAAACGTAATGTTTGCGTGAAAGCAGAAACACAGAAAATTTAAAATGTTTCACAAGTTATGAAACAACTTGAAATTGCTTGGGTAGAAGAATTGATTTTAACATGGGCATGAAACTCTACTTCTGCATACAGATGTATTTCTTATTGAAATCTATATTGTGTATAAAGACTGTTTATTTTTTCGTCTTCAATTTTGATAAGATTTAGAGCGTCAGACTAGTCGTTTAATGTTGCATTGTTGTGCATTTCATTGAGAATTGAGAGAGATAGAGAGAGAGAGAGAGAGAGAGAAGGAGAGAGAATAAAAACTCAAATTCGCATTTCACTTCTTGCTCTCTCCTGAAGGACTTTCCATAAGCGTGAACAGAATGTGAAATATAAAGTTGAGGTTTTATTCTGAGACATCTATTTTCAGTTTCCATCGACGGCAACTTTTGTTTAACATCATCATTTAGTTCCAAACAAAAACACTTGTTGATTCTAGCGCTCCAACAAATGTACACACTCTTAGAACTACACCAAATGAGCATTTAATGACAGTTGGCTCATTAGAGAGATCGCTTGTGTCATTTCGAGTGGGTATAAATACCAGGACTTCACTTGCTCCACATCATTCTTCTCGTGTTTTTTGCCAGAGTAAGTGATTCAAAGCAGTTCTTTTCCTGTCAAATTCAAGCAAAAATCACTTTGAAAACGTAAGTCTCAAAAGAATATAAAATTTCCTTTAAACATTTTTTTCATAATTTTCGTGCTTTAATTGAAATTTATCGGTTTTTGTGTAATTTTTTCAGATGTCGATTAAGTTGCAGTCATCAGATGGTGACATTTTTGATGTGACGATTGAGATAGCAAAATATTTCGGTACCATCAATGTGATGTTAGAAGTTCTTGGTCTCGGTGATGAGACTGACCCCATCGTACCAATACATGGAGTGAACTCAAACATTTTGCGCCTCGTTTTACAATGGGCTTACTATCACAAAAATCCCAATCCGGCCAATGACGATTCAACACGTCAACAATTTGAAGAAAAATTCCTTAATGTTGATTTAAGTAAGCACTCGAAAATATTTTCAAAAGCATACGATTGAAAATAATTTTTCATCAGAAAGATTTTTTTTTTCTTTGGAAAAAGTAACTAATTAGTTGTGTTTGTTTTCAGCAACCATGAACGAATTGATTGCGGCTGCCAACTACTTGGACATAAAAAGCCTTAAGGACGCCGCTCACACAAAGCTGGAAAATATGTTGCAACAAATTCAACATTAGGAGTGATTTATCAGATGACACAAAAGAACAGATCCGCAGAAAAACACAGTGATGCAAGGAAAAATAAACAACATCTTGGTCTTTTAATAATCATTTTAAATAAATCAATATTGCCTATGTTCTTACAATTTGTCTGATATAATAAAATCAACAGCAGATGAAAAATAAAACTTTTTGTTTCTTTTTATTTGAAATGTTGTAATTAAAAAAACATAGATATGTGACACGCTCTTTCTGTTCCATTGTTGACATTTTGACTGACTTATACGACTGCTAAAACGATACACTAATGAGATACCCTAAAAAATTATAATGCTTGAAAAAAAAAATGGTACAAAAATTAATTAGGAGCACCAAAGTGAAGAAAAATAAAATGTCTTACATACGTAAGATGAACTTTTCCGCACTGTGATCCACAAAATTCATTTATAACTTATCTTTTACTTGAATTTGAACTCACGAAAAACTGAATCTGACATTAGTTTTGCGATACACATAATTTTTGACACACTTTTTATATAAAAATTACTTAAAATGGGAATTTTGGAATGGAATCAATCCTTGCATGACGACGTGAAACTTGACACAGGGTATTTTTTCACAAAAAGCCAACATTCTGGAAGTTTGAAAATATTTCAATACAATTTAGGGGTACTTCCCATACAAAATTTTCGTTTTTGGGTGAAAAATCCAAAATTTTGTTCGGAAGGTACCCCTAATATGTATTGAAATGTCTTCAAACTCTCGGAATATTATTTTTGTGTGATAAAAATAACCTGCGCAAAGTTTCAGGTCATTACGATATCATACAGGCATGGCTTCCATACAAAATCCAATTTTTTTGAAATATTTGTATGAAAGGTGTGTCGAAATATATTTGTATCGCAAAACTAATGTCATATTCGGTTTTCTCGTACCCAAAAACCCCCCAATACATATTTTTGGATGTTTAAGAATACATTAAATATCACTTTTGGGGGGAAAATTGAATTTTTCCCATGGATGGCCATGGGCATCACACCAGACATGACACGTTACTCTATCAACCAAAGTCGCTCAAAATTTAATGGTTTCTATTCCTCGGCACCCCCAATCATCCTGTGAAGTCAGATTTTGAATTACTTTTCTTGTTTGAAAGTTATCGTGTTAACAAATTTTTGCGTACAGGGTACAGCGTACAGGGTACAGGGTACAGGGTACAGGGTACGCACATACATTCGGACATCGAAAAAACGCTGGATTCGTGTTCCCTGGGTCCTAAAACACCCAGAAAACATGTTTTTTGAGGGTGTTAATTTTTCGACCGATTCCAATACTTTACCTTACACACAAGGTGTGTGCGGAAAAGTAAAACCATGGAATTTCCAGGTTAATTTGACCAGATTTTTGGATAATATTCTTTGGTCTATAGTTTAAAGGTCCCACGTCCGACCGAATGATCCTCGCACAAATACCGAAACCCGAACCAAAACCAATTTTTGTTTAGAAACCCGAAAAATTAAGTAGCCTAACTCCGGGCATTCGGACTCGAAAATTATTAATATATTTCATACAATCGTACGGCTGTATAAAAAAAACCCATAACTGTGTATCAGAGCGTAAAATACGAGTTCCAAATGGCATTAAAAGTAAATGAAAGGCGAAAAACTTTTTTTTACATTCGAACAATAAATTGAGTAACAGTAGTGCCATCTGTTAGTCACATAAAACATATTTTACAAAAAAAAATTAAAAAAAAAGATGAACGTAATAGATTCATTCGATGTTGGTAATTACATCAAATCAACACTTGATGACTTGTGCTATTTCAAATGGGTATGAATCTCACTTGATACTCATTATTCTTCTTGTGCCGTTCGTAAAAGCAACATCTAACTAAACAGACTATAAGTTTTATATATTGTGAACAGTTATAACGAAGTAATTCAACGCCGATCTTTTCATCTCACGTTCAAGCAAAAATCATACTAAAAACGTAAGTTCCAAATGCTATTATATAAACCGTTATTTTTCACCATTCTCTCATCGATAGAAAGAGTAACGAGCTGACAAAAATAAAACCAAATTAAATGTATTCTTTCTGATTTTTCAGATGTCGAAAATAACGTTGCAAACATCAGACGGCGAAATGTTTCATGTTGACATTGAAGTCGCCAAAATGTCGAACACCCTCAAAACCTTGATGAATGATTTCGGTATCGAGGCTGGAGACGGAAAAATTGTGCCGGTGCCAAATGTCAGCCCTGACACTATGGATCTTGTTATTAAGTGGTGCGAATATCATCACAATCTCGATCTCACGAAGAAGAAGAAAATTGAAGACAACGAAATCGATGATGATGACGAGGACGAGGACGCTTGGAAGTGGAAGAATGAAGAAATGATAGATAAGCCAACTTTTATCCCTAAATGGGATAGAGAATTTTTGGATGTCGATCAAGGTACTTCATTCGTTTAATGATGTTCGATGAATACTATTACACTGATGTTCGAACATTACATTAACTTAATTTTCTCGCTTAATCGCAGGTACTATATATAAACTCATTTCGGCCGCAAATTTCTTGGACATCAAGGATTTGTTGGATGTGACAACAACAACTGTTGCAAACTGGATGAGAGGCAAAACGGCCGAGGAAATTCGCATACTATTCAACATCACAAACAACATGCCCGAAGAAGTCGAAGAGATGCAATTTTAGAACCATTAAGCCAAACAACATACAACATTTGATAATACGATCTTTGACATTTTAACTTTTTCGCAAAAAAAAAACACAAATCAATTTAATGTTCACCTTTCTTTGTAAAGTATCAGTTATTATTTGAACAATTTCATTCGCCACTAATAAAATAACACAAACTAGAGCAACAGTATGAATTCAATTTCGAGTGGTTTCTCTTTCTATCCAACAAATAACATCATTTGGTGGCAACTGTAACCGAAAAAGACAATTTGCCTTTCTTTAAAAAGCAAAAGACTCTTTTACTTTAGTCAGCTTTCAAAATCATCAAATTATAGGCGAAACATTATATACGAGAGTTTTTAACCAGATTTCAGACTTTTTATTTCGAAAAAATGGAAATCAAATCATTTAATGATTGAATTTAGTTCGAGTTTATAAGAATTTTTTATGAATTATAAATCTGTGTATGAAATTTCAATTATCCATTTCGTAACGTATCCGTTCAAACATAAATAAAGAAAAATTCGCGCCAACCAATTAACCATAAAAAACTTTTCATTTCATAAAAACTGCACAAAGACATACTCTATTTGTCATCGAACGGTACATTTTTTTTTGGTAAAATGTAGAATACAGCGCAAATTTCAGTCGAATCATCAAAAAAAAAAACACCGTTCTGTGTATTGTGATGCTCATTTACACAACATAGCCGTAGCCGGTGTCTCTATGTATTGTCCATCTCGTTCTCTCCCCTTTCGCCTATCATTCGATCGCCACGTAGGCAAAATAAGCGTCAAACATCTTCCAACACCAATACACAGTCAAAGTAAAGAGATGCGCAAACACCGACGGCATCTCAACTCAATTGTGTGTTCACAGTAGCATTAGCACAAGTCAATGTATCAGTCGCGTTGGATCTGTCAAACAATAAAATTGTGCATAAATTCTAACAGTACAAAGCGGTACGAAGTATACAATATTCTAGTGGTTTTTGTCGAAAAAAGTGATAAATTCGCGATTTATTCGTTAATTAGATGAAAATATTCTAAATTTTTTGGTATTTTTTTTCGATCGGATTAAATTTGCACGAAATAATATAACCTAACTTTTTGTCACCGAACATTCGACAACCAAGTTGTTTTGCTGTCACACATCGAAATGACGGCCAGTGCAAGTGATGTGATTAAGACACTGCGCAGTCTGTTGAACTCCACCCAAAATGGGCTGCTGGCCAAACAACTTATGCGCGAATTTCGTGAAATGGAAGGGTATCCAGTGCCTTTCCAACAGCTCGGCTACACATCCTTCACACATTTTTTGGAAAAATCGAATGAATTTGACTTGACTAACACGGTGGATGGACCTCATGTTCGAGCCAAATTGACAAAGGAATCGGTACACATTGCACAATTGGTGTCGTCGCAAAATCGCACGAAGAAGAAAAAAACATCCAGACCAATGCCATTTGTACAACGACGCAATATCAATCACACGAATTACAACTGGCGGAATACGGCATATCCAAAGGTAAGTACATTTGAATGGCATTTATATTGTTGGTATTTTGCATGTGGGTCTGTTTGGAGGCAAACATATTGAGCACACTTGATGAATTCGGCATTTTTTTCGGGGTGGTGACTTGGCTTTTTTTTTATTAAAAAATTGTCAACGCAAATTGGGATTTTGGTGTATGTCATCGAAAAATGCTGAACTAGCAGTATTTCATCGAAATATTGCCGGTGTTGTTGATTTTGTGTATTTTGAGACAGATCGTCTTGCTGACTCAATAAACAAAATTTCGCAGTGCTTCCACCAGAATACAGTACTGTACTTCAATATCTCTGTATTGGTGTATGTATTGGTGTAAATATGAACGAAAAAGCATTGTGAGCAAGAAGAGTAACCCAATTTGCAAGTCATTTTCCCTTATTTTACATATAAAAAAAATTCAATGTCTCCCAATAGATTGAAGCAAAAGCTCAAGTAAATCCTTTCATGCAACAAACGATCTACATGGAAAAGGCTATTGAACAAAAAATTCAAATTGAAAAGGCTATTGCCATCCAGCAAGCCATCACTGCAATTCAAAAAGCATATCCATCGACCAATCCTGTTTCATCCCACCAACTTAATGACACACAAAATTCCATCGTGCAAGCGTTAGTTGTTGTAAGTGGTTATTTTTTTTGGTTAAAATAAAAATTTAAAATTTTACGATTAATTCGTGATGAACATTTGATTTTAGAAGTCATCATTAAAAATAGGAATTTTGTGGAATTTTTTCTTTGTGTCAATTCATTGGTTGGGATTGATTCATTGAAATATTTCCGAGCGATTAATACATCGTTCTTCAATTCATGACAAAGTTGAACGAATAATTCGCGGAATTTCTGGTTTTTCGATCTCTCCATGTTTTATTTTTACATAAAAAGGATGCAAAAAGATCTTTTGAGCAAGTAAATCGCCTTTTAAAATATATTTTTTTTAAATATTTCCTTGGTTCTTAATAGGCAAATGCACAAGTTCATGTGAATCGCATTATGCAACAGAAACTACAAGTTCAAACGGCTAATGCGGTTCAAAATGCCTTCAATACGGTTCAAAATGCGTATCGTACCAGCAATCCGATCTCATCATACCAAAGTGCACCGAAATCGTCTCAACCACATCAGAATATGTCGTATCAGAACGCACAAAAGTCGAATCCGTCGTATCAAAACGCGTCGAAGCCGAATCAGTCCTACGAAAATGCGACAAAACCTTCCCAATATTCGGCAGCATCCGTGACTTCTGTGCAAACATCGATGGCGTCGATAAATTTGCCAACGACAACAACCATGGTTGCTAAACCATCATCGCGTCCAACTACAGTCCTATCATCATCTACATCGAACATTCCAAACAGTACCGTCTCGGCCAAGTTACCATCATCGAGCAAATATCCTTCGGTCGTTGAAATATCCGACGAAAATTCCGCTGCTTCGCCAAAACCGAGACAACGGTCATCAGACGATGTTCGATGGGATCATGATCTATGGGACAAAACACCGAAAGTACCACAACGAAACAACAATCAGTCACGAAATTTGACAACGAATAATGCATTGCCAACATCAATGCCGCCATTAATAAAATCCAATCTTATTCCAACATCGGTGCTTAGTAAGTCGACTGTCAACATGGTGCCAAAAGCTGAGCCAAAACCCGAACCAACAGAGGCTCCGGCCACAGTATCACCGGCTTGGTTGAGTAGCAAGACCGGACCACAAAGAAAACTATACGAACGATTGGGACTTCATTTTCAAGAAGAACGGCCAAGCATTCAATCACGGTTATTTGTGAAACAAGAACCGACCACAGACACAGTCGATCATTTGTCAATGGTTGCAAATGTTGCAGAGCAAAAACCAATTCAATCGAACAGCAAAATTGAAAAGGTACAAATGTTGATTCTTACGCATTTTTTAGGGAACTTTGATAATAAAAAAAAATCGATAAGCCTTTTGTATTTCCACAGATGAACAAATTGAAAATGAATGAACCAGATCCAAGAGAGATGCTCGAAAATTACTGCAAGCAACGTGGATTCGATGCACCACAGTACTCCAGCAATATCACCAAATCCATGAAATTCGAAGGATTGGTTCGATTTGGAGGTATGACCTATTCGACACAACCCTTTGATTACATAACAGAGTCTGAAGCACACAAAGAAGCAGCTGTATTGGCGCTTGATAATGTCAAAGATTTTCCCGTTTCGGCCGAATCGGATGAGATGATTGCACAAAAAATGTTCGAATTCATCTCAGAAAATGGCATCTTCATGAATCATTTGCCGAACATTTTCGAGTAAGCAGTGTTGACTTTCTGTAATTGAACATATATTGATCATATTTTTATCGATTCATTCACAGGCAAAAGTACGACAAATCACTGCCTGTTGGATGGGAGGGCATCATTCGAAATCGTCCTGAAATGTTTGAAATTGTCCATCAGCCGACCAATAATGACATTGTCTATAAACGAACGCAGACTGAAGCAAAGCAGCCGAGCAACACAAGCACACCAAAACGTATCCAGAGAGACGAAAGTGATGTTTTCGAACTGCCACAAATGACACTACCGTGGGATGAAGGAAAGTGGAACATCGACGTTACATTGGTCAATTCAACCATCGATGTTTGGTGTACGTGGAGCGATTCAAGCTATATGGTAAGTTTTTTTCGGGTGTGGTGTTTGATAGACAAATTTCTCTGGAACCATTGATATTTAATGATTAGACACCATTCGCTGTTGCCACTGTTTTTATTTTTACAAAGCAGTTTAGTAGGTCTGTATGGTAAATAGGTCTTAATGGCGATAAAATGACCATAAAAATTTACGTCCTCCTATCAAATATACCAATAAGATGACCGAGTCGCCTATTTGTATCACAATTCCAACATAAAATATATTATCTTTTTCTCCTTCTAAACAGACCGATTTAAATGACGCTTTGGAGCCCATCGAGCTGAGCTTGATGAATGGAAACTCACTGACACCATGCCGAAAGGTAGCAGTAGGTGGCATTTACTTGACACCGATAGTTAAAGAGGATTTAACCATCCAAGTGTATCGTGTCAAGGTGAAAACGATCGATGACAGTCAGAAAAAAGCACTGTGTTTTTACATCGATGATGGATTTGAAGAGGAGTTAACATTTGATTCGACCGATGACACCGAACTCAAATTGTATCACATTCCCACCGATGAAATTTGCCAAATTCCAGCGCAGGCCATAAATTTCAGTTTGTTCAATTTAGAAGATTTCGCAGATCACCCATACGCCAACGAAGAGATGGCCTGTTTGCCGGACAATCAATTTTCGGCCAAGCCAAAAACGTCAAAAGAAGACTATGAAAAAGATGGCAAATTGTGCTTTTCACTCTTCGATATGACGGCTACAGATGATACGCTTATGAATCGAAAAATTTTGCAAAAGATTTGCGATCGATTCCAACGGCCAGAGTTGGACAAGCGTCACAATTTGGTCTACGTTACACACATCAACGACACCGGTGATATCTATTGTCAATTATACAATAGCAAAGATATGCAAAATATCAAGAAGATAATAAAACGATTGACGGTCAATGGAATTTCGGAAGACTATCGTTTAAACGCTACCGATTTAAACTATGTCACCTCGAATGCTCTGCGTTTGGTCTTCGACACATCGAACAATCATTGGTATCGAGCCGAAATTTTATCATCATACACAAACGATGGTATCATTGTGAAGTGCAAATTTGTTGACTATGGCTACATCAAGTATGTACCTTTGGAGCATGTCTACAAACTCGGCACAGCACTCAACAAATATCCACATCAAACGATCACAGTTCAATTGAACGAATTTCTTCCACGGGAATTCAAACCAAATGTCGTCAAACGATTGCGAGAAGTATTGTGTGAACAGAAGAGACTTTGCTACGTTCAACCGATCAAACTGGATGACATTCCAAAGGTTAACGTATGGAAACGTATTGAAAATGTTTTGTGCAAAATCAACGACTCCATTCGCATTGAATTGGAAATGGAAGAGTAAGTAAATTTTTATGGTTTGATCCACTATTATATCATAACTAATTCAATATTTTTTGAGATAGATCGCCTGACTTTTTATCGATACCAGACGTCGACGACTCATTCGGTCCGGATGAGAAAGATTTGAAAAAGAGCACCGATCTACCGATTCATCCAAAACCAGATTGCCATGAAATTCACAAAGTAAAAGTCATCACAGCAAGCATGCCATCGCACTTTTTCGTAAGTTGATTTTAATAATTTCATTTGTCTAGTGCAGTAAAAATTGGCTCGAAAACGGAAAATAATTGATTCTTTCGGAATTCGACTGTTTTAGTCAAATTGATAAATTTCATAATAAACCGTATTTACAACCAAGCGGAGCGCTCCTGGAGTAAAAGAAAGAGCCCCAAAATTACTTTCATGACTAATACTACTTTTTTTTTAAAACAATTTCATTCCAAAACTATGATTTCGTTTGATTTCTATATTAAAAACTACGTTTGTTCCGAACAGATTCGTCTATCGTCCAATTCACCAGATTATGAAGCTATGATGCATTCATTGTGGAAGGAATTCGACAATTCGGAACCGATCCTCACGAAAAATCAAGTCCAGATAAAGCAATTTTATGCAGGTCGATTGACAGATGGATATTGGCATCGGTAAGCGAAATATACTGTGACACCTCTGAATAGCAAGGTTCCACTATGTGGTTGTTGGTGGTTGTTAAGCTATTTTAAATATATTCACCGGAGACGCCGAAGACTGAATGAAAATATTCATGATTCACATTTTATCGTTTCAGAGTCAAGGTCCAAAGCATCTTGTCGAACAGTGTGATCGTTTTGAAATGGGACTCCGGCGACATTGATCAATTGACCATCGATGCATTACGGCCATTGCCATCAGCCTATCGCAAAATTCCGCAAATGGGTTTTCCGGCACGATTGCACGGTAAGTGCTTATTGACATACCAACGTTAAAGGTCAAATCTGTATATTCTCATAAATTAATTGTGATTTAATAAAATCCTATTTCCCCAGGAATCAAACCGATTAAAAAGGTCTGGAACAAAGACAACTGTGACCATTTCATCGAATTGACCGTTGCAAAAGAGTTCAAAGCTGAAATTATGGCCGTTAAAACAGAACAAGATGACGAATTCACTGCTGAGGTGGTTCTCGTCACACCGCAAAAAATCAACATCGGCGAGTACATGGTTCGAGAACAACGAGCCGTATACGATTCACCGTAGATGTTAATATTTTTAGCAATTAAATAGACAAAAATATTTAACACTACCACGGGAAAAAAACGATTCATAAATTTAAAATTATTACATTTTTGTCGAGCAAAAGAATAATTTTAAAATTGGAAAGTTAAATATCGAATTAAGTGAAAAACATTGAAAGGAAAATGCTTTCAAAAAAAACATTTTTAGATGAAAAAAATAACATTCTTTTGAAAATCACATGAATTATTTTGAAGAAAAAATAAGACAACACGTTTAGTAATTAAATTCTGTACATTTTCTGAAATAAAATTCAGCAAATCGAATTTCAATGAAAAAGAACGATACGGACATTTTGAATCTAATTCATTCTGATCAATGTTAAGGAATTTATGTATCTCTATAGATAGTTAGGCATGTTTAACTCAAAAAATTAATTTTTCTTTTAAAACTCACAAGAAAAAATTCTTTGGCAACGATTTACATACTGTAAATTTTATACACCAGTACCAGAAAAAAGGTGCAATCTGGAACGCAATATGTGGTGCTTAATGAGACATTTTTCGGCTGAAATAATTTTTCATCTCGATAGTTCAGATTGAATCAATTCTCTGAGCTGATACCAATTTTTCTTGGCGCGGGCAAAAATGTTGAAGTCTAGATAAGTAGTGGCGAGACACGAATATCTCATCTAGTACCATTTTGTCCATTCTTTTTTGGCGAATATTCACATTACACACAAACGGAAAAAATGCATGGACTTTTTGATTAAAAATTTTTTTCTCAAAATTTCAACAAAATATTAAAAATCCAAAGACAAAATCCAAATTTGCGATGATATTTGAAAAAATTCAATCGTACCAAGATTCCAAAAATTATTTCTCGTATGTGTGAATATTTTATCTCTTTGATCGCCCATAATTTCTACTTTTCAAGTATTTTTATGTCGTTTGCACTGTCATATTATTGTTCCATGAGCATGCTACTGTAAAAAAGGCTATGCACAAAAATAAATTCCAACGTTATGCTTGGCATGTAAAATATGCGGCCGGCAATTGTCCCGACAATCTTGAAAAAGATACAAAAATACCAAGCGGATGACACATGTATGTGTTCGGAGACTTTTTGTTGCGAACGCCGCTGATAAGCGCCATCTGACATTAGTTAGAATTAGATCGAAAAACTCAATTTATTTCTGAAGCATTGAAACGAAAAAGAGCAAAAAACAACAACAATTGCACGGTCGCACAGAGCTGTACATCTGTGCGTGCTGATAGACGCATACACATATACGCTCTCCTCATTCTTTCATTCCCCTCTTATACGTATCTCACTGGTCAACAGTTCTGTGTAGTGGTGTTATTGTTGTTGTTTTTTCTCCTCTTTCGTTTCAAATGTCCCCGTGCCATGTAAAGTCTATGATGGCGCTGATCAGCGGCGTTCGCATTTTGTCTCTTCATAATACGGCCCGCTTGAAAAATACCGAATTGCCGTAGCGGCAAGGCCAGCTCTACATCGTCCCGTTCTAAGACAGCAAAGAAGAAGTAGACATCGATCAAATTTTTGCATTTTTGCAAAGTAACGAATGAAATTTCAATAAAAAGACGTTCAGCTGAATTTTTTTTAGATTTTTCGTATTGAGCTTCCATTCAGCATGACTCAATTTGTATTACACAAGTAATTCTGGCAAACACATGTTCTTTCTTAATCATTTTTTTATCAATATAAAAAGACGATTTCTGTTTATTTTTAAACTGAATGAGTTATTGCAATATTTACTGGACTTTAAATGACATCAGGTACTGTGAATATTGCGAAGATTGTTGTTTTGAAAAGAAGTTAATTATATCCATGATCTCAATACGATATAAAAATTCACTGACTCTGTCTTTCAGCAATACGATTTCAACGTAGACGTGACGGAACAGTACAGAAAAGACATTTACTGATATCAGTGGTGTGATCATCTCTTACTCTTTTCACTATTAATTTTTATAATTTTCGTTTTCTGTTCGTGATCGACCGCTACAATGGATTCAAACGTAAATTATAGCTATACTGGTAGGAATATATTTGATTTTTTTTTTCATTTTATATTTTTCCAATTTTTTTTGTGTATTTTCTCTTTTTTTTCAGTTACTACAACAAAGTCCAAAAAAGGTACCACCACCACCACTAGTATATCTTACTCTCGAACCTCAAATTCATTGGCTTCTGAAGAGCACGAGAATCGAACAGAAAAAATTGTAGAGATCGAAAAATCAGATAAAAATAAACGTAAAAATAAAAAAAATAAAGAACGTAAAAAGGAGCACAAGGAGAAAGAGCATAAAATTCCCGTTTCAACGATGGAAACTGTTTCAGACCCAATGGTTTCAGATGAAAAGCAACAAAATGAAACTCGAAAATCAACTGATGAAAAAAGTGATGGCAAGGAACATTTGGAAATCCAAACATCTGAATAGTTAGTTACTCTCAGTAAATTCTTAACACAATTCTTATCAGTAATTTAAACGAAGTATGTGAATTCAGATGAAATACGACGTAAATAAAGAGATTTTACTTTGTATTGCAATAAATGACAAAAATAGCAGCAACGACATTGTATTTCTTGCAAAATGGTATAGCAAAATGATTGAACAGAGCAGAAACAATTTGTTTATCATAAATGGAAACTACGATTATTTGGGGGAAGGATGTAACCGAACTCCATTTACATAGGAACACATTTATTTACAAAAAATTATTTTATTTTTTTCGAATTTAGTGGTAAATCTATATGTATCTTATCATCAATGTTTTTAGCATTCATTCACATCAGTGCCATGATCAATAAATAAATTCTTCGTCGTCTAAAAAGTGAATATTAAAATCGGTTTAAGCTTGATTATTCTGATGAAAGTGACTTTATTAATTTTCTATAAGTTTTCGAACATTTTCTTCTTTTCATTTATGAATTCAATAAATTTGACTTTCTTTTTTTTTTTTCAACAACAAGATATGCGCCTAATTGTAATTATGAGTCTAAAATATGACGCGTTCCACAGAATATTTGAATTAGATTTCTTATGACTGAAAGAAAACCAGATAAACCCTTTCATACTCAAGGTATCCTACCTTCTCTTCCACTAGCTGGTCATTTGAAGAGCGTATGTCATACGCCGTATGTTATTCAGTTGTTTATTTATTTAAAAAAAATTGCACGAAAAGATTTTTGTTTATAGCGGTTTCAAAACAAACGACAACGATTTTTGCATTTTGAATATTTTTAAAATTTAAATATATTCACGCTAAATTATTGACAATTCGGCACGAAATTCCATTGATCCGGTTAAGATTGAAAAAAAATCAAGATCAATGGTCATCATTCACGCATACATTTTTCTACTCCAAAAAAAGACAAGACGCACACAAAACATTCTAATAATAATGTGCATAAATAAAATTATTCACCGAAAAAAAAGATTGCTTCACAGAAGATTTAACAAACTTAGTAATTCAAATAAAATATGTTTCGTTTAAACTTTCTTGCTCTAATGATGATACCAATGGCATATATTTTTGCTTCTCGAGTTAAAAATAGCAAATATGACTGAATTAACACTATCTGATGTACAACCGTTCAAGGAAAAAAAACTAAGATCAAAAAGGTCATTGCCGTTAAGACTGATGATGACCGAATTTAGAAAGCGAATGAAACCAATTTGACGACTTTATCACAAATTATGCTGCTTATAATACTCGTAACTTCCATTCGCATCAGTGCGTCGTGAACACTGCTATATGTAGCTTTGTTTTGTGATCTTAGTCAAAATGATGAATATTTTGTATATTTTGTCGTTTTGCCATTTGATTTTAACGGTGTATGGAGATGGCAATAGTTCATCTATAGAAAAGAATCAAATCAAAAATTTCACCGAATTTCTGGAGAATAGTCTAAATAAAACAGTTTTGGAATATACCTTGAAATCTTTAACGAAGCCCGGTGAAAATTTTGGTGCTGTATTACGATCCGTTGTTGTAAAAGTAGCCGATGAAGAAAATGATTCTGACGAAGTGAGTTTCACCGATTCAACTAAAACTTTTTATAAAATGCTATCTATTTTCTTAAAACACAGAACGACATTTTCAACGTTGTCATCAAAACACCGGTTACGAATCCTATTTTGGCTGAAATTTTCACAGCAATGAAACGACAACAACAATAACACATATTTTTACTGTCAAAATTTTGATGTCAAAATGGTGTCGACATTGGTGACGGTATTTTGAAACAGACTGTGTAATCCATATTCATCGTATATGATCCTATGTAAAGTTCTATACTTGATCTAGTTCACATTGATGGTTCAAATCGTTTATGTCCACTAGCGTGGACATGGACTGTGTGTTTCTTCTGTTACATGTACGTTGTAATGGATAAGTATAATAACATGGCGTCGTTCAAATAAATTTTAAAATCCGTCCACTCGTGTCGACACCATCTAGCACGGTAGTAGGGATTTCATTGCTGTGGAAATTTTCAAACCAGCAGTACATTTGTACATTTGAAGTTCGCTTTTACACAGATATAATTCCAGCTTTTGAACAGTTTGAAGAGATTGCAAATGTCCCGCTGGAAGAGAGATTGGACGCGTTCATGCCATGCCTTGGATCGAGCTACTTTGCTCAGGCTAAAAAAATATATTCTGAAACTTTGTAGAAATTTCAATGCAAAAATGGGGTACACATATTTTGAATTATTTATACGTCAATACACAATATTAATTGTCCAAAAAACTTTACTGCTCTCAGAAATTAGGATTCGGTAGTTATTAAATTAGTACTTCCCGACCAGTTCAATAACTTTCGGGAAATAAGTTCCTTTTTATTCGAAATATGCTACGATTAAAAGTATGTAATTTTTAATCAAATAGTTCTGAGGCTATCGATACAAATCAGTCGGTGACAAGAGAAGCATATGGCAATGACACAGATGGCAATCATACATCCGTATGAATTCAAACATTTTCGTCGGGAACATTCTCGAAACAACTAGGGGCCCATTGAATGTTTTGTTTTGAACGAATCGATGGCTTAAAAACTGTTTTTAGGATTCTATTGCTTTTTTTTACAAAAATCGAGTTTTTTTTGTTTGGAAAATATGATGAAACATCTAATCCAATAAAAATGTAGCAATAAAGTTGTAAAATTGAGATAAATATCCCAAAAGTCGATTTCACTGCGAATAATGAGCTCGTCACGATAAATTGACGTGAACATTTTCTTGCAAAATCGAAATTTCAAGCTTTAAAATGCGAATGCCTTATCACGCAGAGTGCAGTTTTTATTTTATCTCATTGTTCTACAATTAACATCCGTAGACATAAACAAAGTTGTTCCACTAGTAGCATCATCACAAGTCGCTATTATCACAAAGTGGAAATCGTAGGAGTAATAAAACACTTTCCTTTTAAATTGTAATAAAGTCAATTTTATCATTTTTACATTGTACATGAGGAAGCTTTAAAAGATAAAAAATAAATGCAATAATGCAAAATATGTTATGAATCCTACTCCTTCTTATCTTTTTGCAGTTTGCACTATTGTTGGTGTCTGACTTGGGGTGAATGAAGGTTTTTTGAAAAAAATAGTTACGATAAAAAATTGAAGGCCTTTGTCTGCATATTAAATGCGTTTTGTTCGTTGCTGATAACGCCATACGGAATGGAATCCAATATTCATATAAGTACGGTTCACGCCCAACTGTTACAATTCATTTATCCGTTACCATACGACAGTATACATAGTGGCAGAGAGCAATTAAAATTTATCAAAGTCAGTTATTCGCATTGAGAAGGATAATTTGAAAATGAAAGAATATGCAGTGTTTTAATAAGTTTGATTTTTTTTTTTTTTTCGATTTCTGTGCATTTAGATGTCATTCAAAGTGGAAGCAGTTCAATCACCAAAGACGATCATCAGCACTAGATGTCATTGGGATGAGCAAATGCAGAGTGTGTTTTACAATGACGTTGAAGGTGTAATTTTGCGTTATGATTTCAAGGAGAATAAGGTATATTCAGCCACGGTCGATGGTGAATCTGCAATTGCTTTCGTAATTCCCATTGCGAACCCGAAAAAACCGGGTCCAACTGATGAATTTGCAGTTGGATTCGGTCGACGGGTCGCAGTCGTGCAGTGGGATGGTCGATCGTCAAAGGCAACAATTAAATCCATCGTTTTTGAAGTTGAAAGCGAGAAAAAGGATAACTTATTTAACGCGGTCAAAGCAGATCCCACGGGAAGATTCATAGGGGGAACAATGCGATCAATTGAAGTAAGTGAATGTTCGATTTATGTTATAATGGTTTTTGTTGTTGAAAAATGAGGAGAATTTGGTATTTTCATAGAGAATACTTTTGACTGCTGTGAAAAGTATTCGTGTCAACGGGTTTTTTCAAACAATTTCCCGTGTTTTGTGTGGAGAGAAATTGAAATTAATAAATATGCGATTTTTTTCATTTCTATGCTGCTCTTCAAAAAGGTTGAGGATATTTTCATCCCGAATAAATTGGTGCCGGATGGTGCTTTGTATAAATATGTCAAAGGTGAGGGCGTCTACGAACTGGCAAAGAATGTTTACATATCGAATGGTTTGGCATGGAATGAAAAGGAGAAGAAATTTTTTTATATCGATTCCGGTAAATTTGATGTGAAAGAGTATGACTGGGATCCAGCAACTGGTGATATTTGTGAGTGATTTTAATAAATATTTCTTTGGGAGCATTTTGAGCATTCAATAGCTTAGTTATTTTTTTGCTCTGAAAGATCCAATTGACAATAGTGACAGTCAAAATGGCAATTACAAAAAAAATTAAATTCTTTCAGCCAATGAACGTGTTGTGATTGACTTCAGTATAAATGGTAAGAATCCAGGATTTCTTCCCGATGGGCTTACAATCGATACGGATGGCAATTTATATGTAACTGCCTTCATGGGATCAAAAGTGTTCAAAGTCGATCCAAAGTAATTAAACTTTTGTTTTAATTTGTTTTTGAAAATAACTTTTATTTCATTCATGCATGGGTGTGTTTTTTGTGCTATTGTTTACGTTTAAATTTTTATTTCTTTTTACATTTTCAAAACTCTAGTTTAATATTTTTCTAAATTCTACTTTGGATACACACATTGTACTTTGAAATTGGAAGTAAAAAACGTCGAATTAAAGTAAAATCTTTGCTTCCAATTTCAAAATTTAAATGCACACAATTTTTCATCTCCAAACTAAATACTTTTTTTTTATTTTTCTACCTTATTCCCTTTGTTTTACACCTTTTGGTTTTTATTCATATATTAAATAGAGCTGGCAAAGTATTGTTCGAAATTCCGATACCGGCTCAAAAAGTGACTGCAGTGGCGTTTGGTGGTCCAAATTTGGATATTTTGTACGTGACAACTGGTGGAAAAGATGACACCAATGAAAATGCTGGTTGTCTATTCAAAGTAACTGGTTTGGGTGCTAAAGGATTTAAAGGCGTTAGAATTCACATTTAAAAACTGTAAAAACTAATCTGAAGCTGTATTTTGAAAAGTTGACAATTTTTAATTCAAAATGTTGGAAATTTAAAATGTTTAGATGCAAAAATGTAGAAAAAAAAAGTTTAGTCTGTTTACCTTTTAAAACGATTTTTAGGATTTGTTAACCGTATTTACAAATACAGTTTTTTTATTCATTTCTGCTTTAATTTTTGGAAAAATATCAATAGTGCAAAGTACATAGCTTAACCCTCTAGTGCATAGCCCTGCCTTTAGGCAGGGTGTATAAATTATTGTCTAAAATATATAATAAAAAACAAATGATTCTATTTACGAATTGAAATATTTTCAGCAGGGTTCAGGCTTTCATTTGCCGGTCATTTGACAAGTGAAAATAAAGCGGTTATTTAATCATAAACTCAGATGTATGTAGCAGTGTTTCGAATTTTACAATGCCAATTCATTCAATTATAATTACCATTAGTTAATGTAAATTGAAATTTTCAATTTATATTTTTTCAATTCATTGAATTGAATTTTCAATTACCATTTACATTCAAATTGATAAATGAATTGACATTTATTTCAATTGCGTGAAGTTGCAGAGATTGATGCCTTATGCGGAATTTGTGCATAGCTAATGTTAAAAGTGAGGTTAATATTTGAATGCGCACATTCAACAATAACGGTTGCTGTGTCAATAAGTTTAAAAGAAATCGCAGCAATGAAAACAGTTTCAAATTTTAATTTTTTTAATTTGTATATTAATATTAAATTTTAAATATATATACATTTTAATTTACATTCAAAATGTTATTATAAATGAATTGACGGTAAAAAATTGAAAACAATCGAGAGTAGTAATATGGGAGCCAACTAGAATCTCTGCAACTTCACGCAATTGAAATGAATTTCAATTCATTTCTCAATTTGAATGTAAATGGTAATTGAAAATTCAATTTAATGAATTGAAAAAAATAAATTGAAAATTTCAATTTACATTAACTAATGGTAATTGATTTTCAAATAAATGAATTGAAAAAACTAATCATTATTTCAAACTCTGGTATGTAGGAATTTGACAAGAAAAATTATCTCTCTCTTCGTTTATAGCAATTTTATAGCAGTTTAAACAATGGTTTCGATTGTTCTCCAATTTTGTCAATAGCATTTTTTGAGTAAACTATACAATTTTTTGAATTTCGATTATTTTTTCAAGGAATTTTAAACCAAAATAATCATAGAAAAATAGTTCTCATGTCGAAAAAAAATTAATGCATTAGAGGGTTAATAATAAAGGTTCTCTTTTTGCGATATTTAACATTTGTCTTCATGGTTTTTAGCATTAAATACGATAGAAATCTAGTTTATAGATCATGCCTCTAGCCGAAAGTAGATCATTTCCCAAAAACGTATCACGATGAAATTGTACGATGACGCACATTAATATGCCCCAAAATCGCCTCTACTCGTGTTTTTTACATGAAATATGCAAAGAAAACATGTTTTGGGGTGACTTTAATTTTTTGGCCTAATACAATACCTTTCCTACACTAGGTGTGCGGAAAAGTAAAAGATATTATATAATTGTACACAAATTTTTATTTTTGATTGACAATTTATTTTATTCGAAAAAAATGTTTTAAGTATTTTAAAATGAAATAAAACAATAATTATTTACAAAATGCAACGTTTTAAAAATAATAAAAAATAAATTTTCTTGTAATGAATTAAGTATGAACCGAGGTCTTCATTCAATTAATATTCGGCTACTATTTTATGTTTTTCAGATGCGTCATTGGCGGTAGTACCATTCATGGTTATTTATAGCATTAAGTACGATAGAAATTTAGTCTACAAATTAATCCTCTAGAACAATGAACATCATTTTCCAAGAATGTATCACGATGAAATTGTACGCTGAAATTGGAATCTATTTGAACTTGTGTTTTCAACAATGAACTGGATGAGCAATTTTCAGGTGGAGTTTGTTTCATTCTAATCTCATACATAAATTTCGGGCTGATCAGAATTGGCTGGGGTAAAGACACGTTCACTTGCTCTGAACTTATATTTGTTTTTCCACTCCACAAAACAACTTCCTCATTAATGGATTGATCAGATGTACTTGGAATCCGAACAATTGTTATTTCACTTGGAACTACCTCTGTTAATATTTTATATGTGTTATTACTATAACTGCATAAACGACTAGATCTAAATCCGTTAAAAAAAACTGTTTCATTGACGGAGAATGTGGTTGTTTCTAAACTTTTTACAAAATAGGGGCTTATGGAATGTGTTTGAGAAGCAAGTCGAATGCACCAAATATTTTTATAGCCTTCAAAAAAGTTAACGTCACAACGTTTCTCTCGTGTTCCATTGAATAACTTTGATTGAAATGCCTTATCGCCTATCATCTGAATGATTTCCGTTTGTTCAACAAATGAAAATGTGTTTCCATGCAGCGGAATGAGAGTGGCAAACTCGCTGATGGTCATCGATCCAAAACGAATTTTATAAAATAAGTCACCGAGTTCAGACTGTACTATATCTCTAGTTAAGTTCTCTTCTTTACTTTTATTCTTCACCCAAGACATGCACGCCTCAAATAGTTCAACTTCGGAGCACTTCAAACCTTTCATTTCCATCAGTTCCGCCAATGTCTTTTTACTGCATTGCAAAAATCCTGGCCTCTTTAAGAAATCTCGAGCATCGACACTGATCATTGCTTCGCAAAATTTCTTGAGACTTTCATCCTCAAGAAAAACAGCCAATTCATACCTCAAAATCATATTTTCACTGGTCATTGTTGCCTTCAAGAATTTTCTGCATAAATTCTTGCACTCGGTGACATTGTATTTATTGCTGAGATTCATGATTGCATCTACATTTTCTATGGTCAAATTCACCGTTCCAAAGTAGAAGAAACGAAGGAATTCTTTAAAATCCGCAACATCTGCATCGACGATTTTCACTTCATTTTTCTCCTTCCATGATTCGTTGAACATTGTGTGAAAAACGTCACTGTGTGCAGCAAGGAGAATTTTATGGACCGGAACTCGTCCAACTTCTTCATCGTTCACCTCGAAGACAATTTGAACATCAGAAAATTCCTTGTCAAGGTAGAACTTCTTTCCGAGTTCAGAAGATCCGACAGGACTTGCCACATTGGTTGTTGCTACTTTGGACATTGACATTTTTTTTATTGCTTTGGGGGTTTGATAAACTGATGTGTGATGAATATCGATCCAGGTATGGGGGAAAAGTGTTCTTTTATTGATTAATTTAAGAAAAACTAAATAGCAGGATTTTTTGAAAATAAAATCCCTTTTGGATTTTCAAGCCTTATTAGTTTAAACTTACGATTTTCTGAAAATTTGTAGGCACAATTTGAATGTTTTCTCACCAAATAATTTAAAAAAAAAAAATGAAAATTGATGAAAATTTAAAAAAAATTCTTCAAAATATAACTTGATGAAAAGCAGATAAAATGTAAAAATAAAAATTTGTATGAAAACACCAACTAGGTCGACAGACGGAATGCGAATGGTAATGAACCAATGAAGATGTCTTCTATGCGTCTGTTGTTAATTAGTAAAGCGGTTTTGTTACCGGTTGAACCGTTGTTGTCAAATGAGTGCTTGTTATGACTGAGGAAAATGTCAAATTGTTTCCATTGAAAAGTAATTAAGACGAATAGTTTTGAACATGACCACGAGAGTGATCAAGTGCCTGGTATTTTCAAGTTTTCTTTCTTATTTTCAAAGATAAATTGACTTTTTTTCTGAATTTTGTTATACCATACGACAAAGATCCATTCATTTCTATTGATTTGTACTTTCCATTCATTTCTATTGAAAATTCATTTTCTTTCCACCTTGGATAGCATCTGCAAACTCATTACTGGGAGTAGTCATCAATCGGTACAAAAAAGGGTAATGATTTTCCCGAATTGATTGGTGTTGCTTCCGTAAAATATGCATTTCCATCGATCCAAACTAAATATAACCTTCAATAACGCTATTTACCTTCTTCATTAAATTCAAAAAAAGTAAATCACAAAAATATTTTGATAAAAAATATTATTTTATTCCAAATTCATTGTTTCTTTGAGTTACACAATTTTTTATTGGAGAAAAAAATAATAAACAACAAACAATAGAACAACATCCGAATGAATGTAAACAGTATTTCGATTTTTGAAAAAAAATCATTTTAAAAAAATTCAATTTTTGGAATCTTTATCTTCAATAATCTTACGATAGTAAATCTTTTAATGATGAAGAAAAACATCAAGTCAAATGCCTTTCCGTTTGAGTGTGATTGGGCTGATGATACGTTTTGGAATGTTCCATTCACCGTCGATTTGCTCAAAAAACGTTCCATCAACCCAAACATTGTGATTGAACGAATTGAGGTCGTTCCAATACAATTGAAGCGTTGTTAGTGACTGGCACATTTGCATAAACTGTACGATGCAATCGGTGGTGATTCTGGTGACATCGATTGCCAATGTGATGAGATTGGGCAGTTCTTTGGCGATTCGTAGTAAATCTTGATTGTTTGGTCGATCCATGAACAAACCATCTTCGTTGAACGGTAGCACCATTAATTTGGTCAATTTTTTGTTGTATCCAATGAATTCCAACCATGTGTTATTCACAATCGGCATATTGATCAATTCCATCTCCATCAGTTGATCGAAAGCAAATGGTAGAACGCGTGCACCAGTGAACGCATTGAATGTGAAATTCAGTGTCAAATTTTTGACGGCTTTGAATGTGATGACTTCGTTGCCATTTGCAAAACTTTTTGCTTCCCAGCACATTTGTAATCTTTCCAGTTGCGGTAAAATGTCATTGACCTGGCGATAGAAATCGAGTTCATTGCCATCGGCTGCCAGTCCAATGTCCAAACATTGAATAGTCGGATTCAATCGTAGAATGGCGAGTATTTGTGCCTCCGTCAAATCGGCTGGACCACGCCAACTCCCAGCTGAAAAAAGCACAATTTTCGGATATTCGGCGATGATAGTATTCGGGTCGGAGTATGAGTTATCATACAGACTGAGGCTTGACAGGGCCGGAAACCATTTGTTCAATTTTGATGCGTTTTCATTCAAATGGCAACGGTTGAGAGAGAGTTTTTCAACATTTTGAAATGGCTGCTCAATGCTACCAAATACACTCAATTTTGATGACTCGTATCGACAATCTCCCAATGAAAGTTCAACCAATGACACCAAACAGTCATTCCGTAGAATGGGTTCGACTGCCGTGTACATCGTGCTCTGCACTTCAATATTCAACTTTGACAATTGAGCACCGAACTTGTGGAGGAACGACTTGTAGGTCGACGCTTGTTTCACACTGAATCCAAGATATTCGTCTTCGATGAGGTGAGTTATGCCATCGCCCGTGAATTTAATTTCGTTCTTACCGTACTTTCGACGAAAAACCATGGCGGCTGCACTATCGAGTTGATCACTTGCCATTGCCAGACAGAACAAGTCTTTGAATTTCAGATGCCCGAACACCAACTCCAAACAATCGTTATTGAGTTGGTGTATTTTTGTGTCGCTTTTGGCTACTTCAACATTTTCCAGTTTTTGACGTTTTACGGGTGGACCGTCATCATCGTCGCATTTTCGAACCAATCGCGAGCAATGGTCCGACATTTTCTGTGGAAAGACAATAGATTTAATTCTCTTTTGCATACGACACAAATGATCTGGTTTTTGGTTAACTGAACCACGATTGTTGTTGGTGAAACTAACTTGTCAAACTAATTTGGTCTTTATTCAGATCGATTTAGATGATAAATGTTGGGTAAACTATTTTGGTTACCGCAAATCGTGTGTTTTACCTAGTGAACGTGAATTTTCTTCGAATTTCTTCTTGAAATTTCTTTTTTAATCGAATCAGCTCAAGTTAGACAATGAAAAACTGAAAAAATACTATGAGGTACATACGATTTCAATGGGATCTAGTGCAGAAAATTAGGTGGTGAAATACACCTTCGTTCGGGAGTATCTTCAAACGAATGATAGCAGCAGCCGCAATTGTGTTCTTAATTTTTGGTTTGGTGCATCTCTCTTATTAGGTTTTACTAAAACAAAACTCATGAAAATGTACGGTGATTTGTTCGCTGTTTGACTTTATCTAGGAATGAATTGTTGACAACAATTGTTGAATATACCGGATGAGTGTCACGCAGATGTTACGTCAAAACAGCACAATATTTCGTGACAAATCAACTCTTCCGTGAGTCGTGACATGCATTTATAACCTCGAAAAGAGCAAAATGTCATTTTAATTCAAATTTTGTGGGAACGTTTTCTATGTCTTGTGCTTGAACTCAATTGAATAAACATCAAACAAATTTTGAATTAAACGGCAGTCAATAAAGCGAACACATTCAAATGATTTTGATTTCATTATTTATTTACAAATCAATAAAATAACAGCCAGAAATGTCAGGGTCTTGTTCAGAATTAAAAGTATGTAATAGAAATAGCGACAGTATCTGTTGGAAAAACTCTGAGAAATTTTGTGGAAAAAAAAATGAAAATGATAGATAGTTGTGTACAAATTCTTTTGTTTTGATTGACAATTTATTGTATTCGAAAGAAAATGTTTTAATTGGAACGATTTATAAAATAAAGTAAATGAAGAATGATTTAGCAAATACAATGATTCAAAAATACAATTAAAATCTTGTTTAGGGTTGTCACTATTGTCATTCTTAATTGTTTTTGGCATTAAAAGTGATAGAAATTTAGTCTACAGATTAAGCCTCTAGCACAAAGTACATCTCCTTCCAAGAATGTATCTTGATGAAATTGTACGCTAAAATCGGAATCTATTTGAACTTTTGATTTCAACAATGCACTGGAACAGAATTTTTCTGGTGGGGTTTGCTTCATTCGAATCTCATATATAAATTCCGGTCTGATCAGAATTGGCTCGGGTAAACACACTTTCACATGTGTTGATTTTAGATTTGTTTTTCCACACCACAAATCAACCCTGCGATGCAACGAAATTAGATATCGACAAATTATTATTTCACTGGGAACTACTTCTGTTGAATCACAATATTTGTTATCACGATAATCAGATAAATGACTACATGTAAATCCGCTTAAAAAAACTGTTTCATTGACGGAGAATGTGGTTGTTTCTAAACTCTTTACAAAATATGGTTTTAATGAACCATTTTGAGAAGCAAGTCGATGGATAATCGTTTCATACCCAAAAAATAACTTAACGTCACAACGTTTCTCTCGTATTCCATTGAATAACTTCGATTGAAATTCTTTATCGCCTATCAACTGAATGATTTCCGTTTGTTCAACAAATGAAAATGTGTTTCCATGCAGCGGAATGAGAGTGGCAAACTCGCTGATGGTCATCGATCCAAAACGAATTTTATAAAATAAATTACCAAGTTCAGACTGTACTATTTCTCTAGTTAAGTTCTCTTCTTTACTTTTATTCTTCACCCAAGACATGCACGCCTCAAATAGTTCAACTTCGGAGCACCTCAAACTTTTCATTTCTACCAGTTCCGCCAACGTGTTTTTATTGCATTGCAAAAATTCTGGATTTTTAAACAAACCTCGAGGATCGACACTGATCATTACTTCGCAAAATTTCTTGAGATTTTCATCCTCAAGAAAAATGGCTAATTCATACCTTAAAATGACATTTTCACTGGTCATTGTTGCCTTCAAGAATTCTCTGCACAAATTCTTACACTCGGTGACATTGTATTTATTGCTGAGATTCATGATTGCATCTAC